ACAAAAAAAGGAAAAAAAAAAAAAAAAAAAAGTAAAGCTATATGATTTCTGTGATACAGTCTGCTCTGCTTGCTAAGCACTATAACAAACCATCTAATTAATACTGCCTTTACTTCCAAGCTATTTGGCAGCCTCAATTATAGAGCAACAAATGTTTTTATAGTACCTCCTTTGCCTTTAGAAATACCTGTACAACTGACACTGGTAGTAGAAGTGCACATAAAAAGAGATCTCTCTCTGTCATGGTGCTAATAGGCTCCTCTTTCGTCTATCCTACAATTGATTCTAGTGCTATCCTCCCCAATCACAAGCCTAGGTCAGTGTGGTGAGACAACAAACTAATAGTTACTGCTTTGATACAGCTCTCCAAGCCAGCTTTCTTGAACCACCTGAGTGTTATTTGCTTCAGGCTCCAGGGCACCAAGGCTGGTCAACACCAAATATTATTCAAACTTAAAACACTCTAATTTTAATAATTACCTTCTGCCTCCTGCAATGCCATCAGTTTCCATTAGATGTGTTACTGTTCTTTCCTCTCCTACAATGTTTGATGCTGGACATTGTTAAAATTGCTAAAAGCCACTCAATGACATGCTTTAATTTAAAAAATTCAAGTATTTAAAATGACATGAACCATCTTAATGTCACTCAGCTAAGTATTATTGTAAGTGTCGGGGGTTAGGTGGAAGAAGAAGAGAGGAGACAGACTGAAAAGACCTAGGATATAAATCCAGGTAGCTTTTACATTTAAGGGAGAAATTATATTTTCAGCTTTGAACAAAAACAAAAAAACAGATTTCCTTAACGTGATAATATATGCACATCTACACATCTGTCTTAATTATTTAAACATGCACATAAACTACATTATCCTACAATATAAACTTTTAAGTATAATGAAAACATGACACACCACATCGGTGTTCTGCTAAAAAAAATTCAAGGACATTATCTTAATTTTCTAACACATAAAATTAAAGCTCAGCATTATTATAAAAATCAGCACCTCAAAATCTGGAGACACTAGCGAAAGGAAACAAAGATTTTAATTTAAAAAACCGCCTCAAAACCAGGTCTAGCAAACATCAATTAAATTGAGAATAATGACAACATGTATACTGTCACCAGTGTCTCTGGGGAACTGTGATTACATGCATACATAGAATTGTATGTACGCATGTAATCATACATCCAATTTGAATTGGATAATATGTAAACTACTAAGCAAATTCACATTATACATGTTATACAATATGTTCTAATTTCACAGCTCCCCAAAAGCTCAATATAAAACCTTTATTACAAAGTTTTCCTTTTAAACAATGTCAAAAAAATGTAATCATAGAATTAAAAAAAGAGCTGGAATCAAAGAGATTTGATTAAAGTGTTTATTTAATACCCATTACCTATCAAAGCATCTTTCCAGAGATACTAAATATTATCAGCAAGCCAATTTGGACAAAAAAACTTGAAAAGTTGAATAGAAATATCAGCATAATGCAAAAACAGAATGTGATGTCATATACAGCAGAAATAATTACTGAAGATTCTTAAATTGGAAAAATAAATCACACTTCCATTATAGAAAATAGGATATAGAAAAATGATTGTAAGTCACTACCTGATTCTGCTTCCTTATTTTATAGGAAAAAAAAGCAGGTCCAGAGATGGTAAATACTTTGCTCAAGCTTATCACCCAAACCATGTTCTTCTGATAAAAAGGAAGTAGTTTGTTTCTTAACTAAAAAAATTCATTCCCTTTAAAGAACGTTTTGGCAATTTTCTTGAAGTATTTGGTAGTAGTAATTTCAGTCTTAAGAACAAACCAATTATAAAATACCTGTTCCTTTTATCAAGGGCATTTCAACTAGAGTTAGAAAGTGAATACAAACTAATATCAAAACAACCTAGACCAGCTGTTCTCAAACATGGCAGCACATTAGAATCACCTGGAATACTTTTAACACTGCATTTACCTGGTTCCACTCCTTTTCAATTCAGATAGAATTTTTTTTTTTTTTTAAAGATGACCGGTAAGGGGATCTTAACCCTTGACTTGGTGTTGTCAGCACCATGCTCTTGGTTTAGAAAAATGCATATAGCCAAGTTGTTATAAGAATCCAGGAAGACAAGTATTGAAAAATAGATTAAGAAAAAATTACTAAAGATCAATATTGCATCAGAAGAGAATTTGCCGCAGAATCTTTCAGAAAAGTTTCCTCTACTAAAATTTTGAAGAAATGAAGTTATATTAATATCTCCTATCTTGGATAAGTAATCAAAAGTCTATTAAGAGCTTGCCCGTGGCTCACTTGGGAGAGCGTGGTGCTGACAACACCAAGTCAAGGGTTAAGATCCCCTTACCGGTCATTTAAAAAAACAAAACAAACAGCATGTTAAAACCAGAGCTCTGGGAATCATGACATTCAATTATAAATTTCAGTTCTAGACAAATCATAAGTAATTTTAAAGTTATAAAATCTTATTCATATTTTCAGGTTCTGATATAGCAGACAGAGTTATTGTTGATGTACTTAACTTCCACAAATTATATTTTCTCAGTGTACAGCCAGCCCCATTTTCTCCAAGCTTGAAACTTTGACATACAATTTATCATCTGTTTCTTGAGAATATCACATGCATGATTAAGAATAGTAAGTGTACTTGCCAGCCGTAAAAAAAAAAGATGTAAGAGAATAGTAGATGTTATAATTATTTTTACAATTGGTATTACTATTAATATGGTCTCATTTGCTTATTTTTCACAATTTACAGTCCTTTTATTTGTTTATAATTTTTATTGTTGCTGTTCCCAGGGAAGTAAAAACTGTTATTAACTTACACACTAGGAATTGAGAGCCTTAACAGTATTTTAGTGGGTACAACTGAAGTGAATATTTAGGACAAAACGTCCTATTGTTCCATTTACTTATCATATTAAGCAAAGATATAATTTTTTCCCCATTAGCCTTTGAATTTGCAATTTATAACATACATAGTGTTTTTCTGATAAAGCACTTTGAAAGTTCATAAAACAATTGAAATTTGAAAGATAAATGACAACTCACACTATCACATTAGAAGACAAATTGACCTTAGTCCCACAAACTATACACTATCCATAATGTAGGTAAAATTGTTACTTTGATTTTAACAATAATATATTTTTAAAAACAACACCTTTTAATTGGCAAAGATGACAATTGAAAAAGATGACATTAAACAAGAATGTCAGTCATAAAATAAAAATTCAATCCATCAGTGTTTAAAATTACAATTCTGAGGTTGAGTAAATCTACTGGAAAGTTAGGAAAACATCAAATATATATTGCACCATTTTAAGAACATAAAGCTGATGATAAACATTCTTTCCTTCAAGCAACATATTGGAATATTGTATCAAAAACTGATAATTCAGGGCCGGCCCATGGCTCACTTGGGAGAGTGTGGTGCTGATAACACCAAGGCCACGGGTTTGGATCCCTATATAGGGATGGCCGGTTTGCTCACTGGGTGAGCGTGGTGCTGACACCACCAGGTCAAGGGTTAAGATCCCCTCACCAGTCATCTTAAAAACAAAACAAAACAAAACAAAAAAAACCAAAAAAAACCCCTGATAATTCATATGAAAATTAAGGTACTTTATTGAAAAACTGTATATAGTACTTCAA